TAAAATGTTCAGAATAACACAATTTAACCAAAACATTTCGTCAAAATCGGTAAATTATCATACACAAGGATAGTACCATGGTTGTTATTTAATTGGCTGCCTTAGGTCATGTGCTTAAATTTGACCAATCACGAATATTGTAGCAGATTTTGGCAAGAAAGCATCATTACAAACTAGTTTCTATACAATAAGATTGCATGTTACAGCTATGAAAAATACTCCAGGGGAGGTTACTATCATATTGGTGAAGAAATATAAGCTTTCTAATTATGCCTGACATTGAAGGCTTTGATGCACATGTTATTCATACATTGTTTTAGCTTCCAAAACAGAGCTACTTCCTCATGTTACTGAGTGGACAGCCACTGTTACCAGGAAATAGGTGATGACAGACACTATTTATAAGTCTTTTTAAAATAATTTTTTGATTACGTAAACAATCAAAATAAAAGAGAAATAGTTAAGTGGATTTTGTGAAATCTTATGTCTGCTAAAAATCGCCAGATGTTTGCTTTTTTGGTCCGCTACGTTATGAATGTGTTGTTCTACACCTGTCCTAACTCTCCCAAGTCTGAGGTTTCCCTTTCTCAGACTAAAGCAAGGAACACACAATATTGCTGAAAAATAATTGATTGTAATATGATACAATGATAATATAACATGTGACTGGAACCCAAACTGCTCTGTTAATACAATAACACTATGTATTCATGGAACATGTCACTGACTGTAATTGTTTTAGACAGTTGGACTGTTCTTGGTGTACATGGTAGAATATTCTTCCCCTTCTCAGTTAAAGCAAGGAAAACAATAGTGCTGAAAATACCTTTTCCCCACCAAACGTCAGTGATACCAACCACACATATACATGACTGGAATAAATTGCTCAAATCATACACTAACAATATGTATTTTATTCATGGAACATAATCAACAACAGTAATATTATTTACTTATCTAGATGTACATAGTAGATTATTACTTCTCAACACAAATAATGTTCACAGATTGAATGAGGAGGTACTTTTATGCCACTATTCACGTATGATTCACATGTACAATTACTAAAAACATTTATCATTATTAGTATTAAACAGTACATATGGTACATAACAATAAATCTGTTAAATTATCAATTCTGTATAGGGGATGAGATGTGGACAGTGACTGTGTCACCAGTAATTACATTGCATTTACATTGAAAGTGATTAGGACCCCCAAACAATGTTTTAATGTCCAAGCTTGTGGCTACAGATCAAGAATGTTAATCCAGAACACCAGCAGATCCCCCTCTTCAACAATTAAGTGACAACCTCTTCAGTCGACTACCACATCTGCCTACCTGCTTGGATCTGGAACCACCATTGTTCTGACAGTCCTCGAACCAACAATCATCTTGAGGACTTTCATTGGCGGCTGAAAAGTAGAATAGCTGAAACATGTCCGAGCATTAAGAGTTCCTGGAGTAAATCAAGAAGGTTGAGGATGCAGGCAGGGTCAAGGAACTTGAGTTGGATCATAGTGCCACATCTTGCCCAAGATCCAGTCTTTCGACAACTGGACCGCATCATGCGACTCAAGAATCACCTCTGCTGTGGAGGGAAAAACTCACTTTAGTTCCTGGATGCTGCTGGTCATCTTCTCGGGCTTATCTTAATTGAACTTCGAAACAATCAAATTAATGAGGAATCTAAATCCAAATCTTCTGCTTAACTCAGGATAGGGAACACTATATTCCTAGACTCTATATCAGTTTGTGTTTTAAATGCCATTTGTTAGTTTTCTGTATGTGTTATTAAAATCTACAATCTATCTACTCTTTTTGTTTTGTATTTTATATACCTGAACCAGTGGATGAGACTTTGGATACACATCCACAAGATCCTGCCATGTTCTTTAAAGGCTATTGGTGAAATGAGATGAATGCCTTTGTGGAGTCTCAAATGCTGGCGTGTTAAGTAGACAAAGTTCTGCACCAGTGTTTTTGTTTTCATTCTGTACCTTCAGTCTTGAAATAAATTGCTATGATCCTGCTCTGTCTGGTGGACACATGCCTATATTAATATTATAACACTAAAATGGTTAAGGTTGTTGTTTGATATATTTTATTTAGGTGACATTTTCAGACATACAATAACAGTCTCAGTCATTAAGAGAACTTGTCCATCTTGACTAAATGTCTGGCAGCAGTCAGGAACTCAAGAGGAGTATTTAGTCCTGCTCAGTACTGGTCATTATGTCTTGACAGCCTCTGGTCAATCTCACTGTAAGCCCTGTAGAGGGGTGGGGGGTGGGGCACCGTGGATCATCTGGGCTAAATTGGACTTGATGACCACCTTTCTGTGATCCGAAGTATTCGACTTTCATGGATTTGCTAGGGTTTGAACCAAGAAACCCATGACATGCGTTTTATGAATCTATACAGTTCCTTCTTCACTTTGAGTCAACTACATAAAACAAAATTCTTACAACATTTCCTACTAAAACCAGGCCTTGAATTATCATGAAAGCATATATAGGATGGTGAGTTTATCTGTTTTACAGTGGAGTCGTTAGTAAACTCCAATGCGTTGACCAGCCTAAATGTGCACAGGGGATCGTAACAGTCCCTGACACTAAACAACATACTCCCTAGCTATTGTTCCCTGCACGTATATACGTAGACCTATCCAGGATGACAGGGAACACACCGAAGCAACAGGAAAGGACTAGCCCATGGAACAAACCAGTTTTGAGAAACAGTTAACCACATCAAATATCCCTTTATTTAATCCCTGAAATATCAATGAATTGGTATTTCTTGGACAAAGTATTGAAGAAGCAGTGAAGACCTAAGAATAACCTGCATTTACTTAACTGAATACCGGTAGTACATATAGCATGGGGACAAAAGTGTTACCAATCTGTGTTATTTTTTGTTTCGTGTAGTAAATATATACATAAAGTATGTCAGTCAGTGTTTCACTGTGATCTTTTTCTTGATATTGAAGAAATGATAACTTCACAACTTAAAAAATAGCCATTATTCATTTCAAGATCAGTGAAAGAATTGTCGATTTCTTTTATTTCTCAAGAGGAAGTGATCAGTGATAAGGTATGTTAAGAGTTTACAAAACTCAGCTAGCCTTTAAAGTGAACTTTATCTCCATGTCAAGAAATATCTCCAAATTGACAACAGCAGGCATATACAGCACTCTCTTCCCAACCATTTCCTGCAAAGTGCTGTTGATCTGTCATATGCTATTTTGTTTGCAACCAGTTTCATGGTCCATGGTTGCATTCAAACTTTTATGCATCAAATAGTTTACACATTTTTTTAATGGATTTTTTAATTCCTATTTTATCAAAATCACAAAAATATGCTAGAAATTGATTGTGTTTATGGAACACTGTCCAACATTTTCTTATACGTATCAGACTTTTCAGTGTAGCATCTCAGAGAGTTGCACCAAGGGCCATAAACAAAACAATCTATTACCAGTTGATTTTATTCTATTTGATAATAAAATCATAAAACTAACCCCCCAAAATTAAGATAGACTTTAACATATGGTCATGGTTTTCTGGATTTGGCGCTGGTGATCTGTTTCAAGACAAGGATGAGCAGCATGTCTTGACATTGTTTGTGTCATAGTTGACTAGTCTCTTCAGTCATGTAGTCGTGACATCTTGTACTTTTCCTACAGTCAAAGCAACGATGGAATATGTAATAGTCCAAATGACAAGGTGTCTAAGCTGATGGCAAGGTGTTTGAAGCTGTTGACAAGGTGTCTAAGCTGTTGACAAGGTGTCTGAAGCTGTTGACAAGGTGTCTGAAGCTGTTGACAAGGGGTCTAAGCTGATGGCAAGGTGTCTGAAGCTGTTGACAAGGTGTCTAAGCTGATGGCAAGGTGTCTAAGCTGTTGACAAGGTGTCTGAAGCTGATGGCAAGGTGTCTGAAGCTGTTGACAAGGGGTCTAAGCTGATGGTAAGGTGTCTGAAGCTGTTGGCAAGGTGTCTGAAGCTGATGGCAAGGTGTCTGAAGCTGTTGACAAGGGGTCTAAGCTGATGGCAAGGTGTCTGAAGCTGTTGACAAGGGGTCTAAGCTGTTGACAAGGTGTCTGAAGCTGATGGCAAGGTGTCTGAAGCTGTTGACAAGGGGTCTAAGCTGATGGCAAGGTGTCTGAAGCTGTTGGCAAGGTGTCTGAAGCTGTTGGCAAGGTGTCTGAAGCTGATGGCAAGGTGTCTGAAGCTGTTGACAAGGGGTATTAGCTGATGGCAAGGCGTCTGAAGCTGTTGACAAGGGGTCTAAGCTGATGGCAAGGTGTCTAAGCTGTTGACAAGGTGTCTGAAGCTGATGGCAAGATGTCTGAAGCTGTTGACAAGGGGTCTAAGCTGATGGCAAGGTGTCTGAAGCTGTTGACAAGGTGTGTAAGTTGATGGCAAGGTGTCTGAAGCTGATGACAAGGTGTCTAAGCTGATGGCAAGGGGTCTAAGCTGATGGCAAGGTGTCTGAAGCTGTTGACAAGGGGTCTAAGCTGATGGCAAGGTGTCTGAAGCTGTTGACAAGGGGTCTAAGCTGATGGCAAGGTGTCTAAAGCTGTTGACAAGATTCTTGTTTGTTGTTAGGATGACCCAATTATGCCCCACACTTGAAACTGTAACACCCCTCATTTGACCCTGTCATGCCCTAGCTTGATCTACAATGCCCTGAAATTGACACAACAATGCCCCTCGTATGACCCAATTGTTCCCTTGTCCCAATAATATCCCAGTCTTGATCATTAATGCCCCTCACTGGACCCTGTAATGCCCTTAATTACAGAACTAGAGTATCTGTACTGAAAGATTGTCAGCTGTATTTAATAAATGGGTAGACTGTTAAGGTATGATTTTTACAAGATCAGAATTTAACTGAAGTTAAAATCAAAAGTCAAAATCAGCAATTTCCTTCAGGTGCAGTAGAAAAATAGTTATGTGTCTATATTGTTAACCAATTTTCTCTTTGTGTTTTTGTTCAGTTTGATGCTGTCATGTTTTACTGGTCAACTGGAGGTGGTGAAACTGCTGCGCAAATACAATGCTCAATATGATGACTTTGACCGTGGAGGGTCTACTGCCCTGCACTGGGCAGCAGATGGTGGCAATGTGAAGCTGATAGACTGGATGATACACAATGGAGCAGACGTCAACATGAGGGATCACCATTCTGGCTGGACACCCTTGCTTAGATGTGGTTTGTATATATATAAAAGTCAAAAATTAATCATGTTTATGTTCCTAGTAAATTAATACAAGCCTAGTCATAACTTGAAGCCATTTGCAATGAGGAATGTGAACAAAATGTTCACAATATATTGAATGCCATTACATACAGTTTACAAACGCGCAGCTTTGTCTGTCATATTGTTTTGGTCATGTAAAGGTATGCATGTAATGAATGTGAAACTTTGCACATAGTGGGGCATACAGCTTGGCTTGTATTTGCATGATCTGTGTATGTAGTGGTCAACATCTCACCAAACATGTCCAATAGTGGGCACCACTGGTATAGTCATCTTAAGCACCACAATTCGCTGTGCTGAGTTGAATCCCTTATGTAGCAAGAATCCTATAATCATGGGTTTGAATCATAGATTTGCTCTGGTTATTATTCTTGGTTTGTCTGCCATAGTTTGTGAGGATACAGATCACATTTATATACCACCAGTCTGTCAAATTTTTGACAGGCCTGAAAGGACATTGTACTTTTTCGACTTTTTGTTTCATATGGTTTGTTACAATAAGGAAGTTCAAGTTTGTTGAAGGCATCAGTATTGGAATTTCATAATGGCTGCTAGGTAGCCTTCTTTGATTACAAAAAAATAAATAAAAACCTTCTTCTCCAAAACTCAAAGGGACACCTGAGGCCTGAAATTTGGTGGGTGAGATGTTCTCCATATGTAGCTTCATATTTGTTTGAGGCATGGTGATTTTGGAAATCAAATATGGTTGCCAGCAGTCATACTGGAAAATCATAATTTGTCTTAAACATCTCTTTAGAAACCACTGGACCAATGGTGCTGAAATTTCACATACTTCTTCCTACCAATGATGACAGCTGTATTTGTTCAAGTGGTTTGAATCCAGTTTTCAACATTCAACATTCCTTTGCTATCAGGGATAATCGGTTTTGACCTTCGCACATTGTGGTCTGACATTGTGATCATGCAGTTCAAAAGTTCTGCCGATAATTCTACCGAAAGGAACAATGACAGGACTTAAACTGTCTTCAACATGTTGCTGGTCATTCAAATGCCCATTCACAACAACCAAATCAGTTTGCCTGTGATGTGTGATACCGCATACCGTTCCCAACGAAGTCACTAGCAACTTTTTCTGCATTCTGAGAATTGTAGGCAAAACCTTGATTCGTCTGCAAACATGGTGTAATGCTATTTGTGCACAATCATTGCGGCCTATGGTAAGCTGTTAGGGCCACACCCTTCATAGAGCTGTTGTTTAAAGATTGATGTTGAATTCATCTTCCTGTTATTGTACAGAATTCTCTATTGATAGCCGGAGCAGATTTTGATCTGTTGCTTAATACAATAAATTTTATGAGATGATCTTGTCTAGGTGTAATTTTTCTAAGACCTGCCACGCTCTGGTCTCATTACAATCTCAATGCAGGTATAATATTGTGTACCACAGTGGAGAAATAACACTTCCTGATTTGCCAAACAATCGGGACACTTAGGTTATTGTTGTTCCACCCTCTATCTATCGTATCCACAATTCGTTATTTTTTCTGTTCGTTGAGATGTTTTTGAATTTTTAAATGTGTACTGGGTTTAATTGCATTAGTGAGTGTCAGTTTCCCTAAAGGTGCTCACACTTTTGCTTCTGTGTGCATGTTCACCACATGCTGTTCATTGTTGATGTGACATTTCATTGTGATTAGATGTTGCGTTCAGATCCACATCAAGCGACTATGCTTGTCGTAAAAGGTGACAAACGGGATCGGGTGGTCAAGCTCGCTGTAAGACTTGGTTGATACATGTCATCGACCCCAATTGCGTGGATCGATGCTCATGATGTCAATCACTGGATTGTCTGGTCCAGACTTGATTATTTTACAGACCACCATCATATAGCTGGAATATTGCTGAGTGCGGCGTTAAACAACAAACTAACAAAACAAACAAACAGATGCGCATGACGGTATGTTAAATGTACACCTCAACAACAGCTACATTTACATCACTGGTTCCCTTAGTTTTTGTCTGTGGTACATTTTAGAAAGTTAATGAACAGATGTTAGACATTAGTCTTTAATGATCTACTTAAGTATTTATTCTACATTTATGTCTGGCAACATCTTGTAGTATGCATGCAGCGAAAGGGGAGAGCTACTCTTGTTGTATATGGGGTAATCTAGAGGAAACATGTACACCAGTTAAACATTATTCAGTTTCAAGTGAGTGAAATGCTCGTTATGGTTGTATTGAAGTAAATTGGAAGGAAATTTGAGTGTAGATGAAAGTGGATGTATATGAGGTCTTCAGCAGTTGGTTGTCCTGATACTGCTCTTACAGATCAACTCTAGTTGACTTCACACTGCAAAGCTGAAGTGATTGGAGGATGTGAGTGGAATGCCTTTGTGAGAACTATTAAGGCGATATTTGCTGGATGTTTTTGCAACCTGGCTATACTCTCACATATGCAACCAAGTTAGCGTGTGGATATTTCTAGGGACAAGCTAGTTAGAAATGCTGTCAGAATGCTTGTTCAGTAAACACGAAGACTCATTACAACAGTTCACTGGGTCCTCTGTAGCACTGTCTACACCTGGTAGTGATTGATAGTTTTAGATATACACTAAATATTTCACATACAGATCGCTGTGAGATATGTTATATTCATGGCAGTAAACTAAGTTCTTACTGTAGATATACACTAGTTTGTTGCTATCAATTGCCTCAAACCATCAGTAGTATAGACATCAGTACAAAGTCATTATTTACATTTCAACAAGTTTGAGTGTGTTCAGACCCACTACACTTGCTATCAAATAGGCACCTTTTGTAGTTTCACACTATTTGAATACAGGTACTCAGACAAGACAAGTTCATTCCATTGTCCAATCAGTAGACATTCGTTTATAAACATATTATCCTTCTCAGTTGGAAATACAACCTATTGTCAGATTGAAGTGAACAACACTTCAGGACAACATATACCTACACATTGTACAGCAGTCGGTTTCTCATGACATCACTTCACAAAATCTAGGACTAAATACATGTTGAACACATAAAGATCAAATGTTTCTGTGTGTCATATAAGGTGCCATGAACATGTAGTGATGACAGATACAATACTTCTGAGTGTCATATAAGGTGCCATGAACATGTAGTGATGACAGATACAATACTTCTGAGTGTCACATCAAGGTACCATGAACATGTAGTGATGACAGATACAATACTTCTGTGTGTCATATAAGGTGACATGAGAATATAGTGATGACAGATACAATACTTCTGTGTGTCACATTAAGGTGCCACGAACATGTAGTGATGACAGATACAATACTTCTGTGTGTCATATAAGGTGCCATGAGAATATAGTGATGACAGATACAATACTTCTGAGTGTCACATCAAGGTGCCATGAACATGTAGTGATGACAGATACAATACTTCTGTGTGTCATATAAGGTGACATGAGAATATAGTGATGACAGATACAATACTTCTGAGTGTCACATCAAGGTGCCATGAGAATGTAGTGATGACAGATACAATACTTCTGTGTGTCATATAAGGTGACATGAGAATATAGTGATGACAGATACAATACTTCTGTGTGTCACATCAAGGTGCCATGAAGATGTAGTGATGACAGATACAATACTTCTGTGTGTCATATAAGGTGACATGAGAATATAGTGATGACAGATACAATACTTCTGTGTGTCACATCAAGGTGGGTGCCATGAACATGTAGTGATGACAGATACAATACTTCTGTGTGTCATATAAGGTGCCTTGAGAATATAGTGATGACAGATACAATACTTCTGTATGTCACATCAAGGTGCCATTAGAATATAGATGACAGATACAATACTTCTGTGTGTCACATCAAGGTGCCATTAGAATAGAGAAGACAGATACAATACTTCTGTGTGTCACATCAAGGTGCCATGAACATGTAGTGATGACAGATACAATACTTCTGTGTGTCATATAAGGTGCCATGAGAATATAGGGATGACAGATACAATACTTCTGTGTGTCATATAAGGTGCCATGAGAATATAGGGATGACAGATACAATACTTCTGTGTGTCACATCAATGTGGGTGCCATGAACATGTAGTGATGTTAGATTCAATACTTCTGAGTGTCACATCAAGGTGCCATGAACATGCAGTGATGACAGATACAATACTTCTGTGTGTCATATAAGGTGACATGAGAATATAGTGATGACAGATACAATACTTCTGTGTGTCACATCAAGGTACCATGAACATGTAGTGATTGTAATGGATCCTGTTTCGTTTACAGATTCGAGTTTTGTATGTATTGTTGATTTGAGATTGCCGGACCAAGTTTTTGTACTGACCGTCACATGGCTGAAGTAAAGTTGGCTCGTATTGAGCTCGAGTTGTGTCATTAATACGAAGGTATTACATGGTGTCAGAAGTCATGGCAGGTCGAATTGACATTCCGCCCATGAATTTCGATGCCGCTAATGTGGCAGAAAGTTGGAAAAAGTGGAAACAGACGATAGAATTGCTGTTCAGTGGACCACTCGCGGCGAAAGATGAAAAGGAAAAGTGTAGCTATTTTCTGTTGTACATTGGTCAGGAGGGCCGAGATGTATTTAATACTTGGACATTGACAAATGAAGAAAAGGATAAATTGCAACTTCTGTACACAAAATTTGAAAACTATTGTATTCCTAAAACGAATGTGACAATCATGCGCTTTCGCTTTAATACACGTGTTCAGGGCCAAAATGAGACAGTGGATTCATATGTGACAGAAATCAAAACCCCCGCGAAAGATTGTGCCTTTGGTGCGATTGCTGATGACATGGTTCGTGATAGAATAGTTTGTGGAACGAGTAACAAACAAGTACAAGAAAGACTGTTACAAGAAGCAGATTTGACAGTAAATAAGGCCCTTGAAATAGCGAGAAGTTTTGAAGTGAGTAAAAAACAGATGAAAGAAATTCAGTCAG